TCCATTCTCCTCTCGGGATCCTGGGCACGCACGCACATGCGCCCGGCGTGAGTTTTAAGCCACCGGGTCCGGGACACGAACCGCGGTCGACTACGTGGGAATCCAGCGACATAGCCATTACGCTAACTGTTGGTTCCCTCTGTCTCCTTTTTTGATTATATTAGCAGTGAAGGAGAAATCACACCCCTCTCCCCTGTGGATGGCCATGCAGAAGTCCCTTCTCCAGTCTCCTTTTGGGTTTTTGGGCATGCATGTACACATGTTAAGCATGATTTTCTTTCTTTCTTTCTTTTAAAGTACATTTTAAAAAGTATTTTTAAAGAATGATTTAACATTTATTTATTCATTTATTTCATTTTAATTTGACCAGAGAGGGACAGAGAGAGAGTGAGTGAGAAAGCAAGCCGCCAGGTCTGGGATATGAACTGTGGCTGGCCATGTGGGAGTCCAGTGCCCTTAACCACCATGCCACCTGCCAGCCCCCTGAGCGTAATTTTCAAGCCACCAGGTCCGGTACTTGAACTTGCAGTCAGCATGTGAGATCCAGCCACCTTAACCTCCACACCACCTACTGGTCCAGCTGTCATATATTTTTTATTTTTTTACTGAAGGCACTTATGCTCACCAGTGAAACAGAGGAAGTGAGAAATTATCCCCCAGGGGAAATAGCCTTGCCACAATCCCTTCTCCATTCTTCTCTTGGGATCTTGTGCATGCACACACATGAGGTTTTTTGTTTTTTGTTTTTTTTGGAGAGGTTTTTGCTATAGCAAAACCTTTGCGCTCGCCAGACAGAGAGAGAGACAGAGAGATAGAAAGCGAGAAATCACCCCCCAGGGGGGATGGCCACGCTGCAATCCCTTCTCCTCCATTCTCCTCTCGGGATTCTGGGCACACACGCACACGCGCCCGGTATGAGTTTAAGCCACTGGGTCTGGGACTCGAACCGCGGTCGACTACGTGGGAGTCCAACAACATAGCCGTTACGCTAACTGCTGGTCTCCACACATGAGGTTTTAAACGTGGAGTTTTAACTTTTAAGCCACCGGGTCTGGTACTCGAACTGTGGACAACTTATGGGAGTCCAGTGATGTAACAATTATGCCATGTGCTGGTCCCTGTTATATTGTTTTTTTAACAGGGAAGATTTTTGCCTTTCTGCCCTTATGCCTCTAAAGTTATGGACATAATGATGTGAATAGCTATCATTTATTGAGGGCGTACTGTGTGCCAGGTACTGGGCTAGTGTTTTGCCTTTGTTTTCACTACTGCAGTCACCTGTCTGGTAAGGTAGAATTGTTCATATTTTAAAAAGTGGTATGCTGAGAAGAGTAGGCAGTCTGGTGTCTGATGTTCTCTAAAAGTCTGTGTAGTAATCTCTGTTCTGTCTTCTTTTTTGATTATATTAGTAATGATAGAAAGTCGTTTTCCATGAGACTAGGGATATGTGGCAGAAAGGGAAACATTTGGAGTTCCTAAATGTGGAGGTCCAGTTTTAAGCTTTTTTTATTTAGTGTTTTTATATTAAGTGTATTTATTTCTTCCATGAGAGACAGAGGAAGAAGGGAAAAAGAGGAAGATAGGCACTGTTAGCAAGATATCTTATAGTGATTCCCTCCAACTTTCCCAGCCAGCTAGGAATACTTGGAGTGTACTGGTGGAGTGGGAATTGAGTTGAACCCATAGTATTCCATATGGATCTAGCATCACTGAGCAGCACCTTACATCTGGGTTACTGTAGCTAGTCTAAAACTTTTTAAGATCAAAGAAGTGTAAGGTTAACTAGAAACAAAAAAAGAAACAACTATAGAATTTACTGAGTTTCCCTTCTGGGTATGGCAAACTTGTTTATCTGATGTGCTGAGTACTTCTGGAAATGACCATAGGATTTTGGGCGAGACCAGTTGTCTCAATTGTAAATTAATTTTTTAACTATCTAAGTAGAGATTGGCGTGGACCCTCAGGCCTTGTCAGGAAGTAGCGTGGAGACTAGTTTTGGGGTTTTACACATCTGTAGCTTTGTCATAAATCCCTCTAGAAATAGAGGGTAACCAGTCCTCTTGGTCAGTGTTGGGATTAGTTTAGAGTGGTCTGAATTTTTCTCAAGGTAGTTTATAAATAACTACTTTTACATTCTATTTGCAGATGTAATGTTAAGGATTTGGTTTTCTGTCTGAATTCTCAGTTTTTCTGGGGTTCTTCCTCTTTATTTATTTATTTTTTTTTTAGAGGTTTTCACTATAGGGTGCGTGTGCTCGCCAGGCAGACAGACACAGACAGACAGAAAGTGAGAAATCACCCCCCAGGGGAGATGGCCACGCCACAATCCCTTCTCCTCCATTCTCCTCTCGGGATCTTGGGCACACATGCATCCGGCATGAGTTTTAAGCCACTGGGTCTGGGACACGAACCGCGGTTGACTACATGGGAGTCCAGCAACATAGCCATTACGCGCTAACTGCTGGTCCCTCTGGGGTTCTTCTTTAACCATTGACATACGTTCATGAGTTAGCAGCAATAAGTGCTTAAGTTTATTCCTTAGAGAGCAGAAGGTGAAAGCTGGCGAACGAAACTAAATAAAAGAAAAAAACCTGTGATATTTAAGGCATTATATTCCCAGAGGGAGCAGAGCCTTCAAAAAGTTAGTGGAAAATAGGTATTATAAGGGAATTATGCATGAGTTTCAATTTTATCTAAATAAACTCAGTTTGATTCCACTTTTCCATAAACTCTGCCAGAAAGACAGAGAGAGGCAGAGAGACAGAAAGCGAGAAATCACCCCCTAGGGGAAAAGGCTATGCTGCAACCCCTTCTCCTCCATTCTCCTCTCGGGAACTTAGGCATGAACACTTTATTTGTTATTATATTTTAATTTGATCAGAGAAAGAAAGAAAATGAGGGAGCAAGCCACCAGGTCCGGGACTTGAACCACAGTCAACTCTGTAGGAGTCCAGCACGCTTAACCACCATGCCACCTACTGGCCCCCTTAATTGAAAACTTCTGAGAAAAGAAATAAAAACTCACATAAAGGACCTTTTGTTAGGTTTGTATGAATAGCAAGTGTGCCCTAAGGTAGCTTTAGTTTTTTTTTTTTTT